CCCCCCCCCCGTCCACCTGAAAACCACCCCTCCTTCAGAGCGGGCGGCGCCGGCCCTGCTCCCGGAAGGAGACTCGGCGTTGTCGGGCCCAACGTTGTAGCGGGTGCGAGCCCACCCGGGCCGAGAGCGGGAATAAACGGGGGCGCGGCCGAGGCCCCGCGGCAGGGGTTTGGTTTTGGCGTGGTGGGGTTTTCTTCCGGTTTTGGGAACAAACACACAATTAGACACGATGAAAGATAAAAACTAACACATATTTATTAAGTGATTTTACAAACAATCAATATAATAATTCCATGTTTACAAAATAGTAATCAGGCTAGGTAAAGTGCTGCAAAATATTTTAAATAAAGACATTTTGTAATTTTCCAGTTTCTGGTTACCCGGATGGGCGGTGTTACAGACTGTGAGGCCGCGCGTGTGCCGAGCACAGACATGCAGACTACAGGGAATTTGTTCGGAAGGCTTGAACAGTCTGGAAAAAGTGCAGAACTAACGAAAGACAAGTAAAATGAGTATTTCTTCAGACCCTATTACTTTGGGTTAAGATTATCCCCCCTCCTCTGCACAGACACTTTTTCACAAACGAACTGAAGAATGGTACGTAGGTGTGTAGTACACGCACACGAAGAGCCCCGCGTGCTGAAGACAGGTGCTTTTACATGGGATTTGACACACCTAAGGCCACTGATGAAGTGACGACCGCTCCGTCTGTCGCTCAGATGTACTACTAACGCAAGGGGAAATTCTGTGAGTACGAAGGGATGAACAGATCCTGTTCTGACACGCGTCCTTTTCTTCCGGTAGGGATGCGTGAAGAAGCCACTGCAAGGCGAGGGAGGGCGAGCACTGTGACCACGCTACTGCAAAAACACACGCATCCCCGATTTACTACCAGGTAGGAGCACACCAGATAATGCAGGCAGAACTGCATGCCCAGTGTTACCCCATGGGCCCTTGCTCACGCGTCCACACTCTTACGTATGCCCTCTGCGCTGACTGTACTGCCTTTTGACTAGAAATTGCACGCAAGCAGGCTTTCCACAGAACAAATGCATGTTTCAATGCTACGTGCTACCTCATACTCGCTTGCCTTTCTTCCTGCCCGTGTATTCGGTTTTGGAAGATGGGAAGGTGACGACCAGTGCTCAGTAGGAAAGACACCGTGGACCATTGTGATGGGAATTTTTAAGTAACTGCTGTTTTGTGGCTGCTGTTAGAATACAGCAGAATGAAGGTTTCTTGAGCGATTTCCAGCTGAAGGCAGTGTGGAAGGGATCTCACAAAGGACAGAAACATTTTCTTTGTGTTTTGCTGTCAAACCGCTGGCAGTGGAATGTATCGTGTCCAAGCAAAGTGTTTCGTACGTGCGGTTGTTTGGGAAGGAAGAGGTAACTTCCTACAGAAAACTAAGCATCTTTCCACTACCTGAGGAGGAATAGTAAATGTTACAGATTACCTCCTTCCTATTACATAGTATTTAGGGGCTTGAATGTAATCAACTACCACAAGAACAGAAAAATAAAATTCTGAAGACATTCAAGTAAGCAATTACGCCCCTAAACGTTAACGATTTGCTTGTTCAAGTTTTGCTTTGTTTTTCTTTCTGGAAAAAAAAAAATTGAGACTCATACTGGAGAAAAATCAATCTATTTTTCTATCTTGAAACCAGAAAATGGATCATTTACAAAAAGTCCGAGAAACTCCTCCAACTGCTTTTCCTTCTTGATCTAACCTGTAATTCTAGAAGAGCGCCCCTGCATTACGTACTTTTATAACTACAAGTATTCTTCATAAAACAACAATAAAGTGCATGCTGTTACAGTGCCACCACTGACAGCCAGCTAGTCTGTCCCCTCAATCCGCTCCAGAAAAGCCTGTGAAGGACGACTCCCTCCTGCCTCTCCCTGTCCTGTAGCCCGCTTCCCCTCCTGGCACCACTACTCCTGTACAAGGAAGCACACAGTTGTTTGGGTGTCCTACAAAGTTTCATCAGCAGCTTGGAAGTTGTACTCTTCTACTGTATGGATTGTCCTAAACATGCAGCAAGGAAACGAGGCTTTTAACTCATCTGAGAAATTTAAATGGCCTTTAAACTTACTGATTTGCCAGCAAAAGCTTCTTTTATTTTTGGTTTGCCTTTTTTTTTTCCCAAATGGGAAGGACAGGCTGGGGGAAGCTAAAAAGGAAACTTAGCAACCAATGCTGTGGAAGTGATGTGGCCACGGTTTTTCAATAATTTCCAGAAACTCGCTTTTAATGTTAAGATTTTGTAATTTCAAAAGCTGCATCTTGTGGGATCTATATCCAGCATCCACTTACTTTGTAATGGATTTGATAATGAAGGCACAGGCTCACTTTTTTTACTGGTAAAGGACAGCAAACACGGTCAATATGCATTACTGACACAAAAGCACAAG